AAAAAAAAAAAAAAAAAAAAAGCTAATTGCATTTCCTCCCCTATTTCCCACTGGGTTTATATGAATGTAGGCAAATAAAAAATTGTTTAGTTTGAACCTTCTTGACTAGAGATCCTCCTATTAAAATGTCTTCCACGTTTTCTATCGGTCAAAAACTAATTCTGTATAGAATTTGCTTAAAAATTAAGATTGTGAAGGCTTAAGTTTATCATTTATGCTTTGTCCTGAATTCTAGATGTATTTTCTTGTAATTCTAGATGTATTTCCTCTTTCTCACCTCTGTAAAGAACTTATACAAAAAAGGAAAAGAAGTGAAGGATGAGTAGAAGGTGTAACATTGGTAAATGGGACTCCCTGAGAGGCAACAAGCCTGATAGTATCACAGGTGCGTACTGGGAGAAGAGCAGATATTGGATGGGCTAAGGGAAGAGCCTACGGTCATTCTGCAGACAAGACGGGGGCTCCATAGGACAGGCAGAGGATCAAACTTGTTCGGGGTAGTTCCTCTGCATATTAGCACTTGTAGTAGCTTTACAAATATTCAGTTGAATCTCATAACTATTCCTAAATTAAACAATTCTGTCTTTAGTAGTTTTCTTCCATAGAAAGAGTTCCATAAAAAAGTTAAAATTGTATATGCCATAGATGTGTCTGTGTGCATGTACAACAATGGCACACAGTCAGTCCTCCTACTGAAAAGGCACTCTGAGAGACCTAAGTGATAGTACTTCATTTTCTTTTCTATAAATTGTCTCTTTTTTTAAACTCTTGTAAAAGATCTCACATTTCAAGTTTTTTTCCTCACTAATCCTATGGCTGAGTGCTCTAGTACAGCAACTTGAAACTTTTTGTTGTTTTTATGAGTTTATTTTTATCTGCTGTGTGCTGGTACAAATGAGTGCTGTGTGCATGGGGGGGTGGGCAGCATACAAGCGCACACTCTCAGGAGTTGATACCCCCTGACACCTTGTGTTTTTTTCCTCTCATTGGGACATTTTTATATGTAAATGAGCAGTGACTACACAATGTATGACATTAATATGTGGGTTCTCTGGTAGATTTTGAGCTCTTCCAGTGACCTTATTATCATTGCCCATATCTGAGAAACAGTATTTTTTCGATGTAACCCATATGTGTGTGTGTGTGTGTGTGTGTGTGCGCGCGCGCGCGTGCGTACATGTGCATATATAATATGTATATTAAATGTGTACATTTCTATTTTGCTCCTTTTTGCAGCCCACCAGATGCAAAGCAGACACACATCTGGCTTCTATCAGTTAGGGAGTAGCTTTAAGCACATCCTGTTAAATTGTCTGTTCCCAAAAGCTATCCCAACAAATTTAGTAAATGTTACTTCCCCCCACAGTTATGTTCTTGATTGGACCACAAAGTTTTCCATAATGCTGTACTTAAAAAATAGTACATTGTACTCCTTATTTATAATCATCAGTAACTCCCGTGCCAGCATTCTTTAGGAAAAATATTTTAAATATGACACATGAAGTAAATTGTATTCCAGTCTGGAAAGAGACATGGAGTGTCACAATGCCAGTTTTGTGGTACTGTGGTTGAGCTGACTCCTTTCTTATCTCTGCAGAGGAGATAGAGCCTGTGTAGGCTCTCTCCTGGCTCCCAGGTGTCTAGGACATGCTAGAATTGCTCCTAGAATGGTTTCAAATCAGTTGCCTACAAAGGAAATCAGATTGCTAGTTTCAAAGTTAAAATTATTTGAATTTTATTTTGACATTTATACTAAAAAAGTTTGAGACATAAAAGAAAAAATTCCTCTAGGATAAGAAGATTATAAACATTTCACGCATCTTCTTCAGGGCATTTCACTGCCAGCATTTTTCATAATTCAACTGTAACTGTTAAGGGCTTATAATCAGGTATTCATAATCCACTTTTTGTTTTGTTTTCTAGTCGTAACATAATTATGGTTAAACTTGAAGTTTATGTCATAAGGGGTATATATTACCAGTAGACACTTGGAATCCTTGGTTCTCTGGGCATCAGAGAAATATTCAAACAAACAAAACCAGTGTATAACAATGGTAACAGCTTCCTTACATAGGGGTAGCGTGATAGTTGCAATGAATTACTAACTTGATAGACTATGCAGTCACCTGGGTGAGGTCTCTGGGGAGGCCTGGGGGATTATCTTGTTTCTGTTGATTGATGTGGGAAGGCCCATCTTAAGCATGGGGAGGAGAATTCCCTGCACATATAAGAGGAGGAGAGCTGAGGAACAGTATACATTCTCTGAAGTCTTCTGATTATGGACAGAACATAAGCAGCTGCCTCAGGCCCCTGCCACCCTGACCTTCCTGCCATGGGGAACTGCTCTTTGAACTGTGAGCTAAAGTAAACACTACTCTCTTGAGTTCTGGGAGTTTAATCACAGCAACAGAAAAGACACTAAGATAGGGTTCAAACTGTCTTCTTCCGGGTGTTTGAACTAGAAATTGAAGCATAAAGTAAGCCACTACTCCTTTTAAAATATGGCGGGAAATAGGAAGTGGAAGGGGGGTATGAATTACTGTATTACTCTGTCTTTCCAGAACCTAAGTGAGCCTCATCATTAGCCTGTAAGGTCTCAGATAATTATTGTTTCTGGTAAATCAAATAATCACCAGCATTCATGTTTCTTTGTAAAAATGAGTCTGAAATTTTCATGTTATAAAATGAATCTGAAAAGGTCACAGCCAGCGAGTGTTTTTAAATGTGCCCTCTTAAAATGATGTAACCTGTGTTTGTCTCTCAGTTGCAAGCATGAGGGATTAGGAAAATTAAAAAAAAAAATGAAATTGTTTTGTTTTGTTTTGGGTTTTTGTTTTTTTTTTTTTGAGAAACTTTACTTCACGAAATTTTCATATTATGGCTATTTTGTTATCTGATCTGTATTTCTTTGGCATTCATATTCCAACCATGTGCTGTATTGGACAAATCAAGATCTAGTAAATATCTATACAGTAATTAGTATCATCTCTTAAATATTCTTACATTAATTAGTATCTTTTTCACTAGGTACCTGGCTCCGGGGCAAGACTGCCAGGGGACTTGTGAAATAGAGTCTTCATAAGCTCCTATCTGACCAGGAGAAGCACATGCCATGCACTTCCCATGTGTCACTGGATGACTGTGTAATGCTGCCAACTTTGGTTTCTAGAAAACATAGTTGATGTTAGCTATATCCAAGTGAGTACGGTGTTTCATCTCTGTAGACTGTAGATATATCTCACACTTATGTATTGCTTAACAGAAATCCATTAAAACAAAAAACAAAAGTAATTTGTAATTCTAATTATTTTAAAATAATAAATCATTATTTAAAAATAATCACTTCTGTACCCTTCAAGAAAAATGTTATAAGCATACTCTCCAATATATGTATACATTTTACACAGAAATTACCATACCATAATATCATTATTCTGCCTTAATCATTTATAAGGACTAGAAAACACTATTTTATAAAGTTATCATAATTCATTTAGGTGGTGTCTGTTATATTAGTGGACACTGACAATCTTTCTAGTCTTTCACCATTAAGACCAATATTGTAGTGAACATCTCTGAACACAGAACTTTTTCCACTGTGTTTGTGAAAAATGTTTCACCCTGAGAATTGTTGGCTCAAAAAGCTTTATATTTAAGAGCTCATGAAGCAATGAAGTAACCACACACTGTGAGGTGACAGCCAAATATTGTGAAGGTGCATCCAAGTGGCTGACCTTAACCAAGAGAATATTGCACTCCAGGAAATACTGTACCGAGGTCACTATGTACTATGGGCTGTGAATATGGCTGTAATCATCACTGTCAGCATTTATGACTTAATGTTCCTTCAGAATTGCCTTGTCATCTCACAAGCAGCAAATATTCTGGGATTCATTTTTATTCAAGGAACATTTAAAAGAGGAATGAACCATGACCTCCCTCTGCGTAACTGTCTTCAAAGTTGGACAGTCTAAGGAAGACTGTGTTGTTACTTTCGACTCACCAGTGTGTTTTCCCTCCCTCAGGTGGAAGGAGAGATGGTGGAAAAGTAGAACGACCCAGAGACGTGGTACTGCTCCTCTAACTTGGAACCGGAGAGGAGGCAAGATGCTGGCATAGCTGTTGAACTGAGAACCTGCTATGCCAACATATTGCCATCTTTCCCGTCTAACTGCAGCTTGGCCGCCTCCGTGACGTTCCAACATATCTTGCTACAACCAATACATGACATGTAGGGGTTTTGTCACTTGGTCTGGCTTATCCCAACTTCTCTCCAATCATGTACTGAATCACTCACTTTTCTAGCCACACTGGCTTTTGGGGCTGTTATTGGACATATCAGGGATGTTCCTGCCTCTTCATTCATCTGCCTCTGCCTCATCATTTGAGTCTCAGTGAAGACATCACGTTCTTGGGGAACTCTTTCATAGGGGCCTTGCCTATAAAAGCTTCCATGTGCCCAGCCACTGCTTATCTCATGATCCTGCTTTGTCTTTTCAAAAACATTGGTCACTACCTGAACATGTTTGCTTGCTTAGTTGCTACCTTATTTCCTGTACCAGATTGTGAGTCTTTGAAGGAATACCGATCTTGACTTATTTATTCACTGTATACCTAGACCCTGACACTTGTAAGTCCTCAATTCATGTTTTTGAAACTCTACCCTGAACTTATTGTGCAATAGAGGTGTCAAATAATTAGATTTTATTGTGTCATGAATGGTTCTGATGAAACACTGGTTTATAAGTAACAAAAAACTAAATAAGTAGTATTGATTTCTGGGCCCACAAACCCATCTTAAAGGAGCCACAATATGTTATCTTCGAGGATACCAACTCAGAAGACAACATATTGTATTGAAAAGACATCATATTTGAAATAAAAGTTATTCTCCAGTCTCACCATGGCTGTCACGTCTGTATTCTTAGTTAAACTATAATTTTTTCTGTTGCAAGATAATACTGACTCCACAGGATCCTTGAGGTAACGTTAGTGAGATTAGTCTTAATCATGTGGAAAAGTTCTTATCTAGAAAATTTATGATGTGTTCATACTGGTAAAAATGTCATGAGTTTTAATTATTTTATTACCCATAAGTCCTTACCTTGAAGCAAGTGATCTTAAGTGGAAATTCCAGACCTATAGCGCATGTAAAATTCTCCATCAAGACACAGAAAAGCTGAGACCAAACAGTTAATTATCTCAGATCTCAAATGTTTCTTCTGGTTCCTTCATACTGGTCACTGTCCTTTATTTCTGGAGTTATTCATTGTCTATCAGACTGTAGCTTTTACTTATCCACTGTCTCATTAGCGTAAGAATACTTGACTATTTGATATTCATATTTTAAAGCATTGAAGTTTTAGTAGGAAGTTTTGCTTTTAATGCACTAAATGTTATATTAACTTGATGCTTTTCCAAGGGGGAAAGTAACAATCACTCTTGGCTGGGTGTTGTAACTACTGCATCCAGAAAACACTCATTATGTCTTGCTCATGCCTTTGAGAGTCTACTGAACAAAGCCCTTAATTTAACAGGTGGGCAGCACAAAGGTGTGGCAATTTGGACTACTGTTTTTTCTATACATAAATGTTCTGTTTATACAAGGGTAATTATCATTTACAATGCAATATGATAATTAAGTGACTTCAAAAATGTTAGGTACTTTTTTGATCTTAGGTATCTACAGATTTGATTCTCTTGGTACTTTGTGAATTTATCAGCTTGTTTTGTTCTTTCACTTCTAGAAGTTATTAGCCAGAAATAAAGAACAATAGACACTAACCCTGGGAGGTCCTTATAAATGCAGCACTTTCCATGAAGACTTTGAGAAACCCAATTAACAGCTGGAACCTGGTAGCCATGTTGCTTTGTTCATTCATTATTTTGATGGTGAAAAAAATGTCAAGGAATCAATAGGCCAGAACTTACAGCTTATTGTAAAAACTGAGACTTTGAAGATTTATTTCCGCCTATCCTTAGTTTTTAGAAGTTGCTGGAGCTTGGGTAACTTTTCCTTTTTCCAGAGTTCTGACTGCATTCAATGATAGAGATATCCATTGCCCCCTTGACCTCAGCGCAGCTGATAAGCTGGGTTCCGAGTGTGGAAATGAGCTTGAAGCGTAGATAAGCCCTCCTCCTCTGAAAGGGCTTGATTGTAATTTATAAACACCTGCCCTCTCCTTTTTACGTCAAGTGAACAGTCATGGAGGGGGCTGAGCACAAAGAAACATCAAGGGGAGATGCTAACAAGTCAGGATTCTGATGTTACCGGCAACCTTTACGTGTTCTGAATTTTTGAATGATGCTGTATTTTCAGTCTGTTTTAAAATGTAGATTCCCAAACAATGCCTTAAGCATCTTCATTTTTGATGAGCACCCTGTTGATCTGGATTCTGTTTGAGAAGGTGCCATACTTTGAAAACATTCAACCCAAGTCCTAAGTCAGAGGGCAAGTATTTAAAACCTCGTACACAGTTTTCAGTATGGAAGTTGGCCACAGCCATGAAAAAGAGTCTGCTTTCCCACTGTGTCTATGCTTAGGGAAACTGGAACAATGTTTTGTGATCATGTTCTGTCCTCCGAGGTCACTTACATAAACAGCCCATATAACTGCACTCAGGAGCACTGCACCCTGGCCTGCCACTGCGGGTTGTTTTTTAACTTCTATCATCTTTTCTCCAGGGGTTCACATTACAACTTCCAAGCTGCTTTATTTTCTTTACTGATTGACATAATGTTGACCCAAATCTTTCACCTCTAAATAGTCACTCTTCTGTAGGATTTCTGTCAAAATGTAAATGATACACAAGTTCCTGCGGGCTAACGATGAGGTCTACTTGTGCAGAAGGGGAATTTCCAAGATTTATAGGACTCTTAAGAGTTGTAAATCTTTCTGTAACCCAAAGGGTCATGTCTTAATTGATCCATTTCTTAAGTTTATGTTTTGGTAGATATTTTTATAAATTAGGACATCTTTTCATTTGGAGACAGTGTTGTGTAATAAAAAAGCTTCAGATGAAAAGGCAAAAAGATTTGGGCAGGCCCCCAAGACCTGTCATTTTCCTGTACTAGTCATGATTCGGGGCAGATCATTTAATTGACTCTTAATTGTAAAACAGATAATGGTAGGAAATATTATGTGAATTATTAGAAAGAAAGGGGATAAAAGAAAAATAACAGCAGTAAAAACTATATATTCAAGATGGAAAATAATCTATAAAAAGAGACTAGCTGTGGATTTTAGTAGGAATTAACTTTATTTAAAATTTTTCAAAGCCATCAAAAAGACTCAGCACATAAGGGCCCTTTCTGCCAAGCTTGACAACCTGTGTTTGATCTCCAGGACTCTCGAGGTGGAAGGAGAGAACCAATTCCCCCTGGTTGTCCTCTGACCTCCACATTCCCACTGATGTATATACACAAATAAATGTCATTAGATTTTTTTTTCAATGTCTTATTGCTTTGTACTATTGTCCAATTCAGTAAGAAAAAATATAGTATTCTGAGTCAAAGGCAAATAACTTTTGTTCTCATCCAATATGAAGTACTTCTTTTCTACTTAACTTTGTCCCAAGGAAAACTCCTAACACTTATATGCTGTTGAAAACCATGGAACTAGGGAATAAGATGTAGCTCAGTAGTAGAGTGCCAGGGGTTCAGTCCCCACCCCCTGCTCTGCAAACAAATAAAAACAAGCAACAAACAAAAAAATTTTGAAGTGGGGTGTGGTCACACATGCCTATAAGGCCAGTACTCATGAGGGAGAGGCAGGAGGATCATTATTTGAGAGGTCAGTATGGACTACATAAAGAGGTCAAAGGTAGACAGGGAGTGTAGCTCAGTGACAGAGCACTTCCCTAATGTTCAAGGCTATGGGTCCAGTCCCTGGCTATATGACAAATAAATAGAAATCAAGAGTACCTTGATTAATGACTCATCGCCCACACTTAACTGATTGGCGTTGCAAAGTGTCAAATGCTGTAACTAGAAACAAGATTAAATTGTTTATAATTTTATATCCTTTATAAACTCCTCCAACTCTGTTCTACACTCCTACAAAACTTTGCTTTGGAAATAGTTGACATTTTAACAAAATGACTCTACTTTAATCCTGCCTACAGGAGATCCTAATTGCTTCCTTTCGGTGTGTAACAGGAAGGTCAGATATATTTGTATAGGAAGCTCATCTTGTCTCATCTGTGTCCTTGAGGGGTATGGAGTAGACATAGAGGAGAAGATTGGGGTGTCCACCATAGTGGTGCATCTCCTAAAGAATAAACATTTTCCAAACCACAAGAAAATCAGTGTCCTGCTTTTGGTTTTTGCTGAGGCATAGACAATGTTTTCATTCCTGTTAGACTACCTGAATGGATTTCATAGCAGGAAAATACACACCAGTTTCCTTTTAAAATGCAACTTTGCTTTAATGTATTGAAAGTTAAATAAAACATTAAGAAAATGTATGGGCAGTGAATATCACAGATATTAGGAAAACATCACTCAAACTTTGGAAAACTGAAGTTTAGGTAAAATCATGCAGAGGAACAGTTCGTGAAAGCCTCATGAAGAATATGCTAGATTTTTACCTGAAGTTTCTCCAGTGTGTGGTTCATTGTGACATATGTGTATTATTTATTCATGAAGAACTTTTCAAATGAGGATTAATGTACTTCACCCCCAAAATTATACACACACTCAGCACTCCCCCACACACACAGGGTTGATATTAAGGGTTAATACCACTTCTCAGATAATAAGGGAGGTATCTAAGCCAAAGCATTGTGATAAGTTCATTTAGAAGCTGAGAAGTCAGTTTAAGAGTTTGAGCAGGTCACTGGGTATTTGTACTTTCATAAAGATAAGATGGGTCTTTTACATCCACAGAGGCGCATGAGCTGCGATATGCAACAAAAGCAGAAACCCTTTCTGTGTAGTCTAGAAAACTTGGAACATCTTAGTTTACATGAAAAACAAACAAACAAACAAAAAACAGTAAAGCATTTGCTTTATGGTGCCTATGTACGTGCCATGAGACCCATGAGTTAGAAAGGTATCATCAAAGACAGTTTGCCAAAACTTAGAGAAGAAGTCTAGAAATACCTACAGGGAGAAGAATGAAGGAAATAAAACCGAGAAATTGAGTGACTGGGAAATGAGCCATGCTTTAGCTTAATGGTTTGCATACTTTGAAATGTCCTGTCTGATTGCTTAACTTTGCAGAAAAATGAGTGACTCGATTTGCTGGTTCCAAATTAATTCCACATAATGGACTTTAGAGATTTAGCATTAACAATCTGCAGTTTCATCTGTGGCTCGGCTGGGAGGCAGGGATAGTTGTAGATACCCAATTCTAGTTTACTGGAAGGAAAGATTACCCTTGACAAGGCTTTAAAAAAAAGCAAAGGGAGCAAGTGCAGTGATAAAGTGTGATGATAGTCTCAAGCTGGGGAAGAAAAGAAATTCCACTTTAAAATGATCAATCTTTAGGTGTCTATTTTTTAAACATTTCTCTGAACACATTCCAAATAATCATGTGCTTATAATTGTTTTCAACTGTATAAATTATATATAATTGCCTCAATAATTGAACTAGTATAATATAGTATAGTATAATTCTAGTAGTGTTTTGGGAAGTGTGAAAAACCCCTCACCTGGGGCTGGGAAGATGTCTCAGTTGGGAAAATGCTTACAGTTCAAGCTTGAGGATCTGAGTTTACCCCTCCCCCAACACGTGTGCACACACACAAAAGCCAGACACAACAGTGCCAGCCTTGAATCCCAGCATTGGAGAAGCAAAAATGGGGTGGGGGGTGGGGGGAGGTCACTAGGGATTGCTGGCCTACTAATGTATGAACTCCAGGTTGAGCGAGACCCTATCTCACAAAATAAGGTGGAGCACGAACAACTGAGAAAGGTTCTTGATGTTAACTAATTGCCTCCATGCACACCTTCACCCACACGAATACATACAGAAAGAAAACCTTTACCTAACTTCCTCTGTTATTAGATAGAATTTTTCACTCATTCATCCAAAAGTTATTGATCCATTCTCATTGTGTCAGGTACATAGCACCTTCCCACTACTTTCAGTCTAAGAAAACAGATAAACAAGCTATATGAGGAGTTTGAGTGACATAATGTATGGAAACAATATGGGAAGTACAGTCCAAGGAAGAGGTATTTGTTAAGGTTAAAATTAGAGATGGGTGATGAGTATCGTCATAAGGCAGAGGGCATTCGTGAGATCCCTGAAGCTGCAGGTTTCAGTACATCAGGAACAAGTGTCTGGAACGTTCATGGTAATGAGGGAAAGAACAGCTTAAGATATACAAGCAAGGACCACACAGGTCTTTTCATCCCTATGAAAGAGCATAGCTTTTATGAATGGGGTGAGCTGCAGAAGTATCTAAAGTCACTGTCCATAAAAAATGAAGAGGTTTATAATTGGTTATTGTTTTGCTTTGATTTTGAGAGAAGGTCTCACTATGTAGCCCTGGTTGGCCTGGAATTTGCAATGTAGACCAAGCTGGCCTCACACTCACAGGTCTGCCCACCTCTACATCCCAAGTTCTTGGCCTGTACCACCATGCCCTGTGAGGTTTTTTTCTTGAATACTCATATTCTCTCCATAGGCTCATTCACTTCTTCCCTCTCACATATCCTAAAATTTAAACTCTTCTTGGAGCTGGAACTCCTTCTTCTCTGCTTTGGGCCATTCTTCTCTTAGTTTGCTAAATTCCAGCAAAAAGAACAAATCCTGGCTCAGCTTCTTCATGATCTGTTACGAACTTGGCCCTTTGCAATCTGTAGTCTGTTCCCCCCAAGTAGATGAAAGTTTACTTTCCTAGCGGCTCGTGACTTAATAGTCTTGAGTCCAGCAGTCATTCTGGTGTTGTCCCCCAGATTCCTTGAGCCCCACATTTTGGACCTCTGAAACACTGTGCTTCATATATACGACATCTAACTATAGTGTTTGTCTCCCCCTGGCCTCTCCTTCCTTTCCTCTTCAGGCATCTTTTAAATTACTTCTCCTTTTTTTTTTTTTTTTTGCCTCTTGATTTCTCATTTTTTTTTCCTCTGTATCTGCATCATGGTTTTCCGCTATTGCATACACTAAACACATCTTTGTAGCCAAGACCTGTTTTATTTCTGTTTTGCATTTCGAATTGCCTTTGTTGTACCCATTTCAAGAAACCTCCAGAGACCACCAAGGCACCGGTTTCCAGTGCAAGCACATAAGGGACCTTTTATTGTCACGTTCAAACCTGGGCCACCGCAATGGCAGATGGAGGGAAATGTGACAGCAGTCACAAGCCCAGGTGTAGAGTTTTTATAGGGAAGAACCACAAGTCGGGAATTACATGCTTTGGCAATTTGGGAATGGGTAGAAGGGATATGGAGCAAGGTGATTTTTTTGAAACTATTGGTCTAGACTTTGGGTGCAAAACTGCATTTGAACCCATTGGGTTAGACTTTTTGGTGGGGAACCACAACTAGCTGAGCAGGATTCTCTGGACTTCTTAGTGGGATTATCTAGATATCTTCAAGGGCCATAACCTGCAGACAAAATGTCTGCAGAAGCATACTGCTCTGTATCGGTTCGAGTTGTCATGGCATGTTCCTGAGGTCCTTCCTGGAGCTGAGTACAGCAGATGGTCTAAGATGGTGGTCCTACCCTAAGATGGAGTCTGTATGGCTTTTACACCTTTTATGTCACTATACAGGGCCATGCAGACAGTGCCACCAGCACAACTTGTAGAAAACCAGAAACTCAGCCACCCAAATGACATCCTCTTTGATCTTGATGAAACACTTCATCACTAACATACCTTGGGAACCAAATGTCATCTTGCTTTTTTTCTTACCAGTCCTCAACTGCCTCTTTCCATCTAGTAAGTGCCACATCCCATAAGTTCCATATCAACAGTCTCCCTTACGTATACTCGGCGATTCCCATTCCTATTGACATTGCCTGCATTCATACCCAGCTTCCAATTACACACTATAAAGTCTTCCAGTTCTTCCTGCTTTTATTCCACCCTCCACACAACTCAAATCTACCTCACAACCCTGCTAAAAGTGTCCTCCTAAAACGTATAGTTGGTTGTCTTAATGCATCGCTGATTTAGCCTGGTTGAAAAAACTCTTGTGTTGGTTACTTTTACTTTTCTCATTGCTGTACCTGAACTTCTGACAAGCCACTCAAGAGAGGAAGCTTAGTCTGGCTTGAAGTTTAAGACAACACAATCCATGATGTTGGGGAAAGCATGGATGCATGAGTATGAGGTCTGATTGTGTGGCATCTGCAGCTAGGAAGGAGAGAGAGAGGAAAATACAGGTACCCAGATCTCTTTCTCCTTTTTTGTTCAGTCCAGGATCCCAGTCCATGGGATAGTGCTGCCCACATCCAGGGTGGGTCTTCCTACCTCTGTTAATCCTTTCTAGGGATAGCTTCATAACAACACTACAGGTGCATTTCCATAGTGATTATAAATCTAGTCGAATCGACCATGAAGATTTACCATTTATGATTAGGTTTTTCGTTTTGTTTTGTTTTTGCCAACTTAACACAACCTCAGATCATCTGGGAAGAGTTAACGTCAATTGATAAAATTCTCCCATCAGATTAGACAGTTGGCAAGTCTGTGAGGCATATTCTTGATTAATAGTTGATGTAAGCAGGCTCAGCTCACTAAGGGCAGTGGCAGTCCCAGGCATTATTAAATAGCAGGCTGATCAAGCCATGAATAGCAAGCCAGTAAGCACCATTCCTCCACTGTTTCTGCTTCAGTTACTGCCTCCAGGTTCCTGCTTGAGTTTCTGCCATGACTTCCCTTTAAGATGGACTATAAGCTATAGGCTGAAATAAACCCTTTCCTCCCCAAGTTGCTTTTGGTCATGGTGTTTATCACAAAGATAGAAAGCCAACAAGACAACATCACGACCCCACCCCCTTGTCAAATAAAACACTTTAAATCATTCCATTCTATCCCTTGCCCCTAAAGTCTCATTTTTATCTCAGTACAAAATCCACTTAGCCCTAGTCCATATCTGAAATTCCTCAAAGTCTTAGAAGTTCCCATGTTGTTCAAAATTCCCAGGCTTATGAGGATCACAATCTATTAACGTGTGGCTCATATAGCATCAAAAACAAGATATCTATTCCCAATATACAATGACA